TAGGGGCGAAAACGAATCAAGATAAGGGGGACCTGCCTGAGGCCATCGACCTCAGAGGGGATATTTGGCGATTGTAACGATGGTCTCTCAACGGCCGGTCTCACCAGAATTCCGCGTTCGATTATTATCGATTAAAAGCCAAGCGATGATGAGTACCCCTGGGAAAAAAGAGTGAACGAATATCACTGCTCGACCGAACACGCATCGGACGAATGTTGGCACAGAATTCATGGATGGAATCGTTCTAGGATAATCTGATCACCCGCCGAGCGAAAAAACTGTATGCCGATAATTATGGTGAGCTCCACTCACCGGGAAAAGTAACGTTTTCGCTGTGATGATCATTCTTCTGTTTCGGGCCGCAATCAAATCGCCGTATCAGACCTCACTCTTTCGCCGACCAATTGTACGGGTCGTGGTACACAATATGTGATCGGCTCGAAACCTTGTCCGAATAGATTGGATCGCGAAAACCGAGAACGGGGTACTCCCATGCGACATATTGGCAGCGATATTCGTATCTCTGGCAACTCGAGCAGCGTTTCGGCCTATGGAGGTCGTCTTCACTCCGAGATTCGCCCCGAAAAGAACAAGAACAGAAGCCACCGGAGACGTTGCTCTGCCAAAAGAAAAACAGAAAAAGTCTAGAGCGAGTTGTCGCTACGATCATGCGCGATGATCCATAAATCTTAATCGCGTCTGAGCCTACCCACTCTGGCCGATAAGCGCTCGATTTCTGTTTTCGATTTCTTTCTCTCCCAATGTGTCTCTGTAGAAAAAACCCGTGACAAATTTGCCCGCCGTGGAGAATTTGATCCGATTCGGAGACGGCAGCTGCCAATTTGGGAAACTAGAGCTTGGACATGACAAGTATCAAGAATTCTGTTTACAACTACCGTTTGCTTCAGACTTGGAGGAATTCTCCAGAAATCTATGCTCGAACCCTTACCTACCCGAAGTCCGTGGCGATGCTCGTTGGTAGGGCCCAGGAGCTCATTCATGTTCATGTGCACTATTGACATGATGGATGAGCGAAATGACTCTTCCCCCTGCATCTTTTCTGTGAGCACGATGTAGTATTTTGCTGGTGAACTGAAGGGTCCTATCGCAGGTGCAAGGATCTTCGATGAGCTCATGTTCGGCGCTTGAATATCCGGGAGCTCCCGAGCATACAGAAATATGCTATGCTCATGCTGGATCAGGAAAATGAGTGAATGACTGAGCTTCCTTAGGGATATGGACGAAAATAGGCGTTTCGAAGCTACGACGAGCAGAGAAATCGCTCTCGGGAACTAGCCAGAATTCGGACTTTGGGACAAGATGTCCCCCCGTGACAGCGTTCGGTCTGAAACTCCAGATTCAACCTCAAGAGCTGCTCATCCTTTATCGGGATGGGAATATTCTTCGCGTCGTGGATCTTGAAAATAGAAATGTTGCTGCGTGTCGGATTCCAATCGATTCCCTTTCCGTAGTCACAAGCGTCGCTCGATATTCCCTTCTTTTCTCAGTTGTTCCGCTGAATGAGTGCGGCGCTCACTACAGACCGTAATTACTCAGTGACTGTTGAGAGAGCCTCCGTCGAGCGAGTCTCGTTTATCAATCGGAAACTGTGCCAACGAGCGGACGTGAGCTCGACGGAATGTGGAGGATGACCGAGGGTGGAACCGGTCACACAGAAACTCTCCGAGACGTCACACTCCATGTTGATGTAACTTTGACTGGATTGTCGCCAGCTCGCCGATAGCGGTTGCTGGGCATCGTTCCTTGACCTCCGCGAAACCAGAAGATGGTCACTATCTTAGGACCCTTTTCGATTCATCCGCCGTACCATGCCATTGCCGGCGTCTTGGGACGCCAATATTACTGTTTTTGACAGCTCTCAGGTTCTCGAACATGGGAGACTCCTGAAAGCCCTCACGAATCAAGGATTTTCGCGGCCTTTCCCGGGTGAAGTCGGAGAGAAATCTCCAGAAACCAGGGAGTGAGAGCAATACGCTTCGGGAAATCCATGAGGAAAGACCCTGCTCCCAGATCGATAGACCGCTATCGGGTTCCAAGAGAGGGGAAATCCGCTGCCTCCGGCGTAAATGAGTCGAACTGTAACGGAATGGGCCATTCGCCCGTTTCTTCATCCGGCACCTCGGAGGTACGGAACGGAGAGTCTTTTGAAGGCGCGGCTATCAAATACGCGTCTCCTATAAGAGGGAGCGGGGTAGAGTCCGCGGACAGAGTCATGTGGAGCCTTGACCCAGGGTCACCGTGGCAGCGGAAAAATTCCCAATACACGCCCAGCTCCGGGACTCCGAGAGAGCATCGGGTAGAATGTTGATCATAGACGGAGATCGCTGTCACCACGGAGCGGAGAAGGTCAACCCCTCCTTGAAGTAATGTTCATTTTATTGTTCGCTTTCGCTCCTGACCCTGGAATTTCCATGAGTGAAGAAAACACCAAGAACGTTCGGTACCCTCCGGAGGATTTTCTCCGAATTCACTCGATAGACGGAGCGTCCCCAGTTAAGTTCGCCCTCCACGGTATGCGGGAACGCGTCAGTAAAATCGCTCGAGCGTCAGGCACGTATTGATCGCAGTGCGAGCCATCTCAGCAAGAGTCATTGCTAATGATAGGGGTAATTGAGCAGAGATCGAAGGCCCACAATTCCTTTTGGAAGCCGGATCGCGCCTGAATCGGATGAGGAGCGATCAGAGGGCATTCGTTCGAAAATCTCCGCGTAGGAGCGAATCCGGTCGAAATAACTCGTATACGAGGTGACTTGCCGATGTTCAGAGAAGAGCAGGGAAGGATATTTTTCACGTTTCGGTGCGCGAGCCGAAGTATCAGGAACATTGCGAGAATTCTCTTATAAGTGATCACTCAGGGGTCATCCGTTAGAAGCCTTCGGTTGGTGGCTCCTCTCCACATGAAAAAGCACGCCCGTTGTAGAGACGAACGAGAGGATGGATGCTGCCTGAATGTCATACGGGATTCCTTCTCCGACCCCGAGGCTTTGCCGGAGTCCCTCGGCGTTGTTTTCCTGTTCAACAATTTTCGCTCAGCATAACTTGACACACGGTGGGGGCAAGGAAACGTATGAGCGGAGAGAAACGGTGGCAACGACCGATTCTGTGCGTTCGAAACGAGCCGCTGCTCCTTCAATGCCGAGCCGCCCACTGAATTTGCTCCATCTGCATACTTAAAATAGGTCTCGGGTTTCGAGTGTAAATACAAACAGCGAAAACGTGATCGAGTTTCCCGAGCCTAGCGGCTCTATTCGATAGGATAATATGTCGCCGTATGGATCTGTCAGAGGTTCGCTCCAGTGCTCGGGATTTATTCGGAGATCCGCCGGGCGTAGCGGAATCACGGTCCAGATCCCGGAAGGATGTGTGCCCGGATCGTGTGGGATTGAGGAAACGTTCCCAGAGAAGGGATAGCATGCATGTGCACTCAAAGCAGCTGTGGTTTATTCGAGACCTCACCGGATCGGAGAACGCGGCCCGTTTGGTGTGCCCAACCCGGGCAGCAGGTGCATTGTTGTCGCAATACAGTTCTAGGAACGATTATAGCGTCTGCCTGAGCGGCGAGTGAGCGCGGAAACGTGACGGGGATTCAGATCAAGGCCGAAGTACTCTCCATCTACATAAGAACTCCCGACGCCGATCGTCGATAGGGGTCTGTGGGCTTGTCCCTCGCTGAACGATGATGATACGTTTTTATGGCCATCAACTTCCGCAGGGAAAAAAGGGCTCGTTCAGAGGACTCCTCTCAACTGACGAGGGTGCACACCTTGGCAACGAAACTGCGGCGGTTCATGAATCTCTCAGCGTGAACTACTGACCTTGGGGAACGACGGGCGACCGTACTTTAGAAGACTCGTCTGGGGGAAGCCGGACGACTTCGCAGCGCTCTTTTCAGGATGGATGACGGCTCACCGCTGCGATGCGTGTACCTGCAAATTGTGTACACTCGTCCTCTTGGCCTCGGAAGAGTTTCTCTCGGAACCACTGCCGTTCCCGCAGAAGGCGGTGAATCAAAGCTTTCTTCAAGCGATGCCTTTCCTCTGAATCCGAGCAAGTCTCGATCGGAGAGATAGGAGTTCGCAAAAAGTTCGAATCTTTCCTCTCCTCGAAAGCTCAGATATTCCTCCAATAAGTTACCGGGAAAGTTCACGGAAGGTCCGAGAGGAGTCGAATAGACTAGTTTGCTTCTTCTCGAGCTTGAATAGATCGCGCCGCGTGAGGTGGAGTCTTCGAAGAAATTCCCGACACCTCTCACAATTGCCGAGATCCGCCGCAGACGGGAACCGCCCCGCCGTCGCCTTACCTCATGCTCCTTGGAGATTATGTTCCTGTGTATGGAGATTTCGAGACCGCAGGCGTATTCAAACGAAGCGAGACGCCCATTGAAGGCGTACGCTGCCGATTGCGTACTTGGGAATCATCTATCCAGACACGCGAGACCCGTGATCCTCCGCCGAGAGCCTCACCGCACCTAAATTCGCATGCTATCGTATTTAGCATTTTTCACGGGAATTTTGCGTCGGAGGCGACCGCGTCGGACCATCGCAGGCCTGGCCATCTGCTGTCGCATGAGTGAGCGGAGATTAGCAAATCCATGTGCAGGGGAGCTCGAGGCTCTACTCGCCTTCTTCGATAGGAATTACTTATGCTGTTTCGTCAGAGACTCGTATGTCGGAGAAATATTCCCTTCCGGTAGAGGAGTCGGTCCGAATCAATCGGTAGGTACTTGACTTAGTGTCTTACAGAGACTGCCGGACGGAACTTACATCGCCGGGGAAACTCATTAGAAGTTTCGATTCTCGTGACAATCTTGAACAGAGGAGAGAGAGATAGTCGTGAATGCGAAATATCGAACGTCGTTAGTATATTTCTCCACGGACACTTCCCAGTCCTTGATGCCGATGCTTGCGGCATCAAAATCCATGGGGGAATGAAAAGAGGAATGTCATAGGGATCAGGGCGGAAGACTGATAGTTTCGAACATGGCCATCGAAACTCTCAACTTGATTAGGCTGATGGACTGGCGAAAGATCAGAGGTCGCTTACGTACACGGCCGCTCCGGGAAACGTCTCTAAAGAATTGGTTGCTTTCCATTTCAGACCTGTGTCCGAACAAGTTTGAAGCTCAGGGCATGGCCCCGTTGGCTTTGATGGAGGACCTTTCGAACATGACATCGGCCGAGTTCCTGGACGAATTGCCCAGTCTCAACCAGCTATTAGCCAATGACTCAACAAACATCTCTTTCATCCTCACGGACGGTGAGCAATTCGAATTTTATATCTCCCCAAGAGCCCTGCCCATTCGTGGAGAGGAAAATGATAATTTCGACCCACCGAGCGTAGGCTCGCGGAATTCGATTCCACGGAGCTTCCTCTGGTGACCGTCGCTGTAGAAAAGCTGATTCTATGGATCGCTACCATATTCTGCTCCGATGAATCAATGCGGAAGTTTTCTAGTCAGGGGAATAATGATATTGGGTTATCAATCGGCATGGGAAACGGGCATGGGAGCCGTAGGAGCCCCCCTCGAAATTCCTATCCCACTCCACGCTTGTGGTGAGCTCAGGAGCGCGAGTGACATCTGCTCGCGGTTTAGCTGGAATTCTATTCGGATTCCGCCGACGCGACGCATACCAAGCGGCCGCCCCGGACAAATTCGGCGGGAAGCCGAATTGTGGTCGGCCCGAAATGAAGGACATATTTTTCCGTTTCAGAGGAGGCCAGCTTCGTTCCGTTGGGGAAACGATTAGAAACCTATTTAGCTCCGCCAGTCTTTACGATAATCTTCCTCGTAGGACTAATAGGCAACGGCACACTGATGTTAATATTCATAAAAACAAAGCTATGCGGAGTGTACCTAACATCTACATCATGTCGCTGTCCGTCGGCGATCTCTTTGTTATTACCGGTAAGTTGACATCCAAGCAGAGAACATTGAACACATCTAGATGCTATCATCGGGAAGTTCTCCAACGAGTGGCAAATTGATCGACCGTCGAAATCAGCAGCAGCGGCGACGAATTACCGAGTTGTCGCCTCGGCCTCGCAGAACCATTTCGAGAAAGACATCTCGATGTGAACCCGAAGAGATCTTAATTCCCTCTATGCTCTAAAGCCAGTTGCCTGATTGGAGTCTCGAGAATTGCTTTCCATTTCCCTCCGCGGTGAGGAGATTCGCAGAAGATCCGGTGATTTGCCCCGGAGCGATATTTTTCGATGAATTTTTTTCTCTCGCGTTTACCTCCTACGTATCGATTGGGAGAATTCCCCGTGGTCCTCTCGTTCGCTAGACAGCATCTAGCTCTTTCTCATCCAAGACCGATTGTCGTTGCAGGCACGGTGCCGTTCATCTGCGCGATATACGTCTTGGACTCATGGCCTTTCGGCCTGTTCCTGTGTAAGCTTTCGGAGTTTATGCGCGACGTGTCGATCGGCGTCACAGTACTAACGCTCATGATGCTGAGTGTCGACCGGTACATCGCTATCGCGTTGCCGCTCTACAAACGTAAGGGCGGCAGACACGACCGTCGAGTGACATTGTTCATCACAGGCTTGGTGTGGCTCATCGCGTCGTTGATGGCGTTGCCGGGCGCCTACTTTTCGTATCTGGGCGAAGCCCACATTCCCGGTCGGAAGACCATAGTCTACTGTCATCCGTTCCCCCAGCATATGCATCCGTGGTACCCTCGGCTGATTGTGATGTTGAAGTTCACGATGATGTACGTGATACCTCTGGTGATCATCGCGACGTTCTATATCCTGATGGCACGCTCCCTGATCAAGACGGCGAAGAGCGCACTCTGTGACCAGAAGAACGCCGCCGCTAAGAAGCAGCAGAAAGCTCGCGTAAAAGTGGCCAAGATCTCGCTCTGCTTCGTCTTGATTTTTGCGGTGTGTTTCTTTCCAAATCACGTCGTAATGATTTGGCTCTACTACCATCCAACGGCTCATCAGGACTATAACGACTTTTGGCATTTATTCAAATTGTTCGGATACGTGCTCACGTTCGTCAACTCGTGTCTGAATCCGATCGCGCTCTTCTTCATCTCGGGCGCCTTCCGCTCCTACTTCAAAATGTATCTGTTCTGTCAGCCCCGTAGTAAAAACATTATCCAAAACTCGATGCTCTCCTACCGGCATTCGCTGCATCCGTCCGTCCGGGCAGACAGCACTTCCCCGAGGGCGTCTCTCATCTCGCGGCATTCTGTCAACGACCGAAGGAACTCGACGCGCATATGACAGCAGAGGTAAGTGATTGGCCGAATGACTGACTGACGCGACCTTTATTATGGAAAATTCGCCTTCATGGTATTATCGTCATGCTTCCCGGAACGAATCATTCTCAAGAGATCGGGCCCAGATAGCTTCTTTTCCCGCTCCCAGATATCTTCTCCATGGGTGAATAAACACTCTGTTGTGGCATTCCATGCAGTGCGAAAGCTCTCGATCCACGACTCGGCTTCCGCGGCAATTCACCACCTCCATGAGGGATTAGGCGGGAACCCCCGGATATCCTCGCGCACGCGCCTATGCATTTAGATGCTGACGGTCCGAGTCGGTGGAGTTTACTCATGTCTGGCAAGTGGCAGAGATTGCCTCGGCTATCCAGCGTTGGAAAACAAGGCAGCGCTCTGTTGGTCTCACTGTATCGATTCCGCTCGGTCTGAGAGAATTATCCATCGCCTAATCGGCTTCTTGAATTCGAGCGATCGAAGAGAGGGGACGCAAATCACAATATCCAACTGACTGAGTATTTCGACTTCGCCGAAACAAGCCCAACATGGGAACGAAATCCTTTTGTCGCAATTTTTATCTCTCCTCGGAGGGAGCTCAGGCTCTCCTTGATGACTCGGCCTTGGAGGGGGTCTCTGAGGAGGCTCCTATCCGACCCTATATCGAGGTCTGTGAAGTCGGGGACAGACGGCGTCGTAATTCTGCCGGGCCTGCCGATTTGTCGCAAGGACTATTTCTATGCCAAGACACGCGTAAGCGACATGCCTAGACGAACGTCAACATTCATATATTTATCCAGGATGATGCTTGTTGCCTGTCAAGTGGATCCGTATTTATGAGCGCAGCTATCCCTGATTCGGGAGGATGCCTTGTGATCCGCGAGCGAACTTCATCGCTTTGGCGGGACCCTACGAAAGCACGATGGGGGCACCGCATTTTCGCATTAGGATGAGCGCCTCTGTGACCCCATCGTGGTAGTGGGAAACTTCGTTACAACGAATCCCATTACGGGGTACCTGACGGTACGACGAACTATTTTCTTCCATCGCTAGGCTGACTCCCCGTGGACTCGTCGGTTCCTTCGTGGCGTAACAATGAGGATTCATTATGCCTTCCAGCACAACGAATCTTCCAGCGCCGGTTATAGCTGAATTCGATTTGGGGCCCCGGTGGGGAACGCGGCTGGAGAAAAATTGAGGGGCAATCGCGCTAAAAAGTAAAGCTATTCAGAGCCCGGCTTTCCGGTATCTCATGGACCATGATCGAGCGATCCTTTGGAGCGATTAGCGATGGGTTAATTGATACTGCGGTGACAACGCGCCGTCCCTCTGTGGAGCAGGGAGAACCCGGCAGTGAGTCATGGCTCCGCCGAATCTTCTTTTTCGCTTTTTTCAGAGAGGAAAAATGCGTTCAAGCAGACTCAGGGCTGAGTACTGCGAGGCTTGTTCTCGCACTGAAAACTTCTCGTGAGCGTATCCGCCTCCTTCGCCGGTGCCACTGGTTTCCGCGAGCGCCTCCGCCGAATCTGGAAGCGATTGATTGCTCACTCAGAGATCAGCTGTTTGCGGTATTCGAATGCCCATACTCCTCAGCGGCAATGCTGTTCACTAGTCCCGAATATACGTATATCTATGAGCATACATGTATGATTCTCTGAATCGTGCCCACGAGAATCTCGAGTATCATACTCTGAGGATTCAATTAGAATTCGAACCCATCGATTACCCGCAGCAGGAAATGCCGCCCCTTCGTTCGCGCCGGCTTTACCCATGACGCCATTTATGACTCTTGAAATTCTTCGATGCAAGGCTGTGTGGAACTCATGATGGAAACTCATTCTCGAGTCATATCATAATCCGACCGCGAACGAGTCACTGCCTGACCTTGCCCGCGGAACTTGTGAGGGCTCCTGGGTGCTCTTGGATCGTTTCTCATACACGCGACGACACGAAAAGACGAGAACATTCGCGCGGATCGGCGCTTGCGAACGATGACGATATTGATGGAAAACGAGATTGATGATGCATCGATGGAAATCACGTGGAATGAAATGAGAATTATCGCGATGATCACGAGTCTTTCAATCTCCGCCAACCTTTCGCTTCTCTTCTGCATACCTACTTCCTCGACGCCATCGTCTATACCAGCATTTCTCAAACTAGGGGGACGCGTCTCCTGGGGGAGACGCGGGAGAAATCTAGGTGAGACGCTTAGGGCTCCGAGAATTCCCGACCGACCTGATTTCAAATTCCAGAAAGCTCACCAAGCTCATTGCTACTGTACTCCGAGCTTATAATCATTGTACAATTAAAGGGTGAAGCCGTATGTTAGGATAGAACGGCACTGTGGCATGTCTCGGTCGAAACTCTATATTCTCAGATATTCGATGACCCTCGGGGAAGACGCGAGCGCTCCCCAAGAGGCAGAAGGGAGACGCAGGAGAAAAAAGTTTGAGAATCGCTGGTCTATACGCATCTTCTACAGTTAGAAACTTTTCCCGTCGTGGAATGAGTCTCGCTTCCGGGCTTGCTTGTGAGCAGGGAAGCCGCTAAATGCCGATCGAATGCGGAGAGAGTGTAACTCCTGGTGAAGGTTATGAAGAATGTGATTCGAGGGAAGTCGGAGTCTCGACCATGGGTCAGGAAAAATTATCCCTGGAACCAAAACTCTATTTAAGATCTATCATGGACATCTCGAGCTCCGCGATCATTGCCGTAGTCGTCATTCTACAAGACAAAGGCTGGATATATTGCCCACCGAGCTCAAGCTCTAGACGCCCACGCAACGATTTGGGTTCGACGACACACTTGGGTTGGGGGAAAGACCGGGCTCGCGCTCGAAGTCACGACTCATGAGTCGTTAGTCACGACCTCGGAAGGCGAGGGTAGGGGTGGGGATTCGGAAATTGGGCGAAGATCTGTATAGAGGCTCCGACGGAGGCCCACACCTTCATTTCAACCGAGATTATTCTTTCTTTCCAGAAGTTCTAACCGGATCGATTTGGAATCATGTGCACCTCTTTCGGAGAAAGTGATTTCGGTCATTGTGGAGCAGCAGGCGACGCCTGCTACGCCGACGGCGGTGTGACCGCCATCTGCTCAGAGAGATGTTCCTGAGAGAGTTGAGGAAGTGGGAGTTCCTCATCCTCGGAGGGTTGTATTGTTTCGCCTCCAGTCCGTCACCGCTCTCTCGATCGTTCTCGATCAGTTCCCGAGCAGTGAACGGACGGACCGCACCCGAATGGCGACGCAAAAGAGACTCCTCAATAATTCTACAGCGACCGGCAGGCTGTGGAAATGTTCTATATGTAAGAAGTGTAATATCTCTCACCTGTAAATTAACTCGTGGAATACGCTGTTAGAGATTTCGTCGCGTCCTCAGTATCGATGGCAGGGAATTTCTGTAGATAATAAGTCATCGGTCCTCACTCCACCACCGTCGCGAATACGTATACCGACCCAGACTATAAAATCGACAGTATGATGCTTACGGTCCATATTCCGCAACCAAGCATCTTCGAAAACGTTCCGAATTTTCAGATTCGACGATTTCGAATCCATCAATTTCCACGACTATCCGTTCCCTGGAGATTCGAGATCTCGAGTAGGTGAATGAATCCTTGTCTAGATATGGAATCCACTCAGCCACGGACCATGGACGGAGCTGTTCATGATCTCTGATTTTCGGGGCTCCCAGAGCGCCGCCAAGTCCAAGTGTAAAGACTCTCCTGCATTCTTAATTATCGCTCACATTTGATTCGTATTTTTCCGAAAGCTGACGCTCTACTTCCTGCTCTAGATTTTTCAACGCGCGTAAGTCGCGACTAGAAATTTCGTATCCGACTCATCGGAGGTTTCACTGTCGCTAAAGTCGACCTTGATTCCAAACTTGATTACATTCCTCAAACGAGTTCGATATCCCGGATAAATTCCCTCTCAGATAGTCCCGACAGGGCAAGGAACCAATTATGTATTCGTTCGCGGCACGCCCATCTGCATCATTCGGTTCAACTCGAGCACAATGGCGAAAATCTCGGGGTTATTCCAACGGTTCGGATAAAACTTTCGGGGAATCGAGCGTGTGTAGGTCTCTATTTAGAACCGCCGAATCTCGTCAACCTGAATAGAATTTCCGTCCGGAAGAGGTCGTGGTCTCAAGCTGGAACGTCCAGAATCGACGTCCCGGGAAACAATCATAGCTGATCGATAGCCATGGGACATCGAGACTTGAAAGTCGATATTGTAATACCACCTGTTCGAGGCAGCAAATAGATCGACGCTCGTAACATGCTGCGATGATCTTGAACTTGTTATTCCCAGAAGCGACGATCGGAGAGGTTACCATATCCGAATGCATCTGATGTGGGACGATTCAATGCAGCTGATTGAGTTTGATCCCGACATCGAGTGACCTTATGGAGTTCATCGACAGAAATCAAATCAGCTGGTTCCGTGATTGCTGCCGACTACCTCCGGGGCATGGTCACGGTTTGGATGAGTTTTCCGATTTTGGAACACACGGCTGACACGGGAAGTTAAACATCAGTCATAAGATTTCATGGATGAATGGATTCGGGGCAATAATTTTCTAGCCGAATAGAGTGGGATAGACAGAGGCACTCAGCTCATGGCGATACCCCCTGCGGTAAGATATGCCAAGCCGCAGAGAAGGGAGCTCAAATTCGAACTCGTGATCTGGGGATTCGCTCGTTTTCTATATGCGGAAAGAAGGTGAGAGCTCCTCTCTCATTCGACAAGGAGGTGTGCGGCGATATCACAAGGGGACGATTACTCATTCGTGGAAACTCTAAGCTGGGAAGGAGGAGAGCGAGCAAGTCCTGAATGAATCATTTAATATAAATATTATTTACATATGCTATGAGATAAGGTGATAACAATGAACATATATTCAGTAACAGCGCCTGATACGTGGGAATATTTATTTAGGCAAACTAACGACAATTGTTCAGGATGGTGATGAGAAAGATTTATCAAATAGATGATTATAAAATAAGCTGACGACAGACAGGGAGAGTGTGTGACTATGATACTTGTGATTTGTGATGCTTGTGACGGCAGCGAATGGAGTGGTGCAAAGTGCTCAGTAGTGCCGGTGGAGATTACGAGATGATTTTTTTTCTGGGAGATTCCGGCGGTCACCAGCTGCAACTGAACGAGTGCGTCTGCCTCATCACTTCTAGGAAATATATTTCTGTGAATATGTTCGTGATGGATCAGTATGACTGCACGTAGTACGTAAGCCTTGTGAACGACAGGAGATGCATCAAATACATTCGATGAATGGGAATAAAATCGATAGAGGCATCTACACTTTTGATTTTAATACAATCGATGGGCCCTTCATTTTTTGTGCTGATACATATGAGACTTCCTCCCGACCGAGCTCATGTTGAACGAGAGATAAGAGTACCTCCTGTTCATGACGAATTTCGAGTCAGATAGCAGCCGGGAGAGCACCAGGATCCAGAGTAGGAGGCACGAGCGGCCAGCATGGTTTGGTGGTCATCGACTACCTTGATCGACACCGATTAGGGGCAAGGGAACGTCCGGAGTTTCTTTTCTGAGGAGTTGTCTATCGCGCCCGAAAATCAAGCCAGCGATTCCAGGGAGGCTGAGTCGGAAAAAGAATGCGGCGCACCTGTTGTCGATCTTGACTCTGCGATATCCCCCCGGAACGAGGACTGGCAAGCTCGTCTTCCGACGGACATCAAGAGTATCGGGATTCTTTTCTATCCTCTGCTCCTCTCGTTCCGAGCCCTGTCACCCATTCCCATTCTCAACGATGGCTACACTGCTCTCTGCCTCCAGAACGACTCCGACGCGTTGCGTACGTTGTATCGAGCGAACCACCGTTCCCGGTCCAGACAAGACGAAGGAACACAGCTCGAGACCGTCATCAATACCACTACTTCCGGGGACGGACTGCGGTCAACTGCTACTCCCTGCTCCTCGTTCCCCAGAATGTCCAATACTCCTATCTGCTTCATTAAAAGCGTTCTACATTACTCCCGAGATTCCTTGAACGATCCGCGCATCGTGTCTTCTCCTGAAAAGCCTCAGGTCTCACACATCCGTCCCAGGCTCTTCCAGGCGCAGAAGCAGGGATCGGAGCCTCCAGTAGGGGAGGATTCAAATGTGGCATGTATGACAGAGTCATAATTAGATCGTGGCGCAAGCATCGTCAGTGTCCTGCTCGGGCTCATCGTTGGGCGGTCGTCCAATCTCCGAGAGCGATGACGCAATGTCGGTCGTTCCTCGATCGCACGAGCTCGTGCTCGAGCAAATAGCGAGGACGTCCGAGCCGAGGCTGACTACGATTGTAATGGATGAAAATGAGATCAATTATTCATAATTGATCATTCTGCCGAGTGGCGTCTTGCGATAGACCGCTGCGATAGATGAACCACCGTAACCACGACATGCGAGGTCACCACCCACATTGTAATTCACACGATCGAATTTTCCAGGAGGGTAGCGGGAATCCCGAACTCTGCTCAATTCGAAAGAGGTCTTGAGCAGGCGATCCTCCGCATCTGCTCGCCTCTCGAACAGCCCTATCGCTGGAAAATGCCTCAAGCGATTGATATCGATATTGATTTGCGTAATTTGCGTAATACAAACTCGCAGGGCGTCGACCGCCCTGCACCTGACTCGGCGTTCGACTCCGAATCGTAATCGCGAAGGACCGTCTGAGACCTCCGAAGGAACCACACAGGCAGCCGGAGCGTCCGAAGTCACACCTGGCCGACGTCTCTGAGAGAATTAGACTTATGGAAATCGAGGGCTCTTACAGCTCAACGAGCTGAACGATGATGGGAGACTCAAGTCGGGCAGATACTCTGGAACGGCGTTACAAGCGGACTCTTGGGGGGATCTCTCAGCCTTCTCGGTGGATAAGGACGTGAATGATATTGATGGACCTACCGGAACGGCACTGCCGGCTCTCGGACAAGGCACAAAGCGGCAGAAGCGGCACTAAAGCTCGCCCCTCCCGGACGCAGGCTTGTGCTTATTTTTCTCGAAGCGTGGAGATCGGAGCGCAAGGATATCGCGGGAACACGTTCTGAGCACTCGCACTCAGCGCTGGCCGGAAACCGCGGACACTTCAAACAAAATGAACGGAAGCTTTCCGTGGGCTCAGTCACCCGGGAAGCGCTGTGAGCCGCCGCGACGGAGCCTTGCGCTCGCGGGCCATCCAAAGCGACCTGGGTCGGAATTATCCGAGACGTTTTTCAAGCTTTCGAGGCGCGCAGGATATCTGCCGCGTGACTCTACAAAGGTCGTCGGTGCGCTGGAACATATTTGAAGGTGAAAGACGGCAGTGGAAAGATAATCTAGCCCGCTCGAAGCTTAGACAGATCTCACTCAGTCGCCAGGTCTCCATTTCCTATTCTGCACACTCGGGCGCTCGAACTCCAGGAACGCCATGCGCGACGATGGCCACTCGAACCTTTCGTATCACAAACTCCGAGGGCGTACGGTCTCCATCTCACCTGAGAAGTGGTAACATGCCACGTACGATTCGGCGCTACATTATTTGTGGCAGACCTTTCTGCCTGAACACAGCGTAGGGAGAGCGATTTTCTCTGGAAACGCCTGGGGGTATTCTCCCTGCTGGTGTCTTCTAGAATATCGTCGGAATCCGAGATGCCCCCAATCAAGGGGAGCTGCGAAACCGAAAACTAGGATCCCCAGGTCGAGAATGAAATGGGGGGCCCACTCCGGGCGTGCATGCCAGCGACGGGAGGCCTCTAGACCTAGAAAACGAGCGAGCGACTTGCACATGATCTGACCGCTCCGGATGACAGATCTGCGTGCATCTGAGCCAATAAGAGTGCACACGAAAATGGGAAACTCTTCAGCATTGCGTAGACGACCGTGAGGGGTCTAGGAGGAAGTGGCCTTAGCGGTCTCGTAATAATATGCAACTCCGCCTCACCACGATGTCCTTGTGCCAGCCGGGGCATCGCTGTTTGAATCCGAGGGCTTCTCACTGGGGAGCTGGGGGACATTCCCATGTTTGCTACTCTCCCAAGACTGACGCCGAGGGAATAGTTCCAGCTCATGGCTGAAGACTTCATACCCTCGAACGCGACCAAAGGGCTCGGAAATCCCCTCATTCATCTGTACAGAATGTGGAAGAAATTATTTCTCCCGTGTTCTCCGGTATTATTATGGAAAATGCCGACTACTTCCTTGATTTCGGTCGAACGCTCAACCCTTTGGAGTGATGGATTCCGCCGACTATTGAGGATGGAAGCCGAATGGACGTTTCAGAGAAGCGCAGGAGCGGACTTCTGGAGAAGAATGTCCCAGAATTCGCCCCCGGAAATTGAAATCAGGATCCGGGATTACGCGTTAGAAGAACCGTTGCGTTAGAAGAACTCCGAGATTCCGAACTTCAAGCATCGAAGGGCAAATTACTGGATCTCCACTTGCCTCTTGCCCATCGGTCTCTGGAAACGGATGAGTTGCCATTTTCAAGCAATGGTCAGCGCTCGGGGATTCTTTGCGACGAGAGGGGATTAGCTCTGATCGGATTTACCGCACTTTCTGTTCGTGATCTCAAGCGGTCCTCAAACTTTAATGGGAATGAGCTTCGTGGAATTCCCACACTGATGGCAGCGACGTGCTCGATGAAATATTTCAGATGGTTCTTTCCAGCGCTTCATCGTCGAGAATTCAGGAGAGAGCAGACAACGAGCTCTGCGATACCCGCCCTCGATCGGAAGAACAGAGTCGCCCCCGACGAACTTCACCATCAGGCCCTATCGCCAAGGCAGGTCTCTAAGTGTGTGCGATCCTGCAATTGTTGTGATGTATGTAGTATTTGTTCCTGAGGTTCCAGGAACGGGAAGGAGAATGATGGTTGTGAGCTCGGAGTGAAAGACCCTTCCACGGAAAACTCACTGGCTGTTCTTAAAGTAAACATGTTTATTGTGATTGGGGAAGTCTCCGAGTAAACAAATTAGTCAATGTCGGCTCTCGAACAACTTGATTAGATGGTGTTCAGGGAGCCACGGGGAAATGAATAGTGTTCGTGTCCAAAACAGTAAAAGGGATAAGAATGAGCGGAGCGGAATCCAAAAACATTCCCCTAGCTCGCAACAGACAAGAATGCTATCGAAGAACTTCATGTTGGTTCAAGGCAAGGGTTTGATTTGGAGCGAGAGACACAAACGTCCTTCTTTGAGCATATCGGGCTTCACTATGCGATCTCTCTTGAGGAAATTCGCGTAGCCCCACAGGCTACTATCAGGAGACTTCCTCGACAAATCAAAACAAGGGTGAACGGGCTGACCCTTCTCGAATGTTTCGAAAGAGTGTTTCTCGATGACTTTCCCGTAGGCATTGTGGGCGCGGAAGACGATGATTTTTTTCAGAGGACTGTGAGCACGACCTTCGTACTTTTCGAGTCCGATGAAGAAGCCCAGATGAGGAACTCTGCCGACCTGGCGCATACGCACCATCAGGACGAATGGAATCCCGCAAATTCTCTCCTCTATGCGAACTTCTTTCTGCCGTAGAACATTATCGAAATTGAAATAAACGTAGTTGACACCGCCTCTCAACATGTCGACATCCATCTCGAGCTTCTCGGTTGTGCTGATAACGTCCTCGAGTGTCTCCCTGGTGGTCATGAGCTCAGAGCAGGCGGTTGCGAGTCCGTGTCGTAGCCAATCCACATCTTTCCTCAGAGTTCCGTGGTCGAACACCTCGACGCTCGTCATGGGCACGATGGAAGACGCGTCATCGTAATCTTCTCCTACATGCCCCGACTCTTCAGTCCCAGCCTCACATGCGTCATCGGAGCCGGCCTCGTCCCCAACGACGACCTCGGCCCCAGATTCACCCTCATTTTCTTCTCCGACTTTGTCTTTGATGAGGACTTCGACTTCACCTTCGTAACATGCGTCGCCCTCATCCTCAGATTCGTCCTCGGCCTCAACTTCAGCTCCAACGTTAGCTTGATGTTGTTTCGACGAGTCCGTCTTTTGCGAGAGTATAGACTTCACGAAGTTCAATGGCAAGGCAACGAGAGTTACCTCCACGACAGCGTCGCAGGCCTGGCAGAATATTTTGAGGTCATCCTTTACAAGCTCTTCAACAATTTTGGGTGGATTCAGCGATTTCCGGGCGCTCATGGAAAAGTACGTCTCATCAACGGCATGCTCCGGGGGCTCGGGTTGGAAAGCTTTCGGCTGTGGTTTTTCGGCTCTCGGAACTGTGACTAGAGATTTGATTGGGGATCTAAAGGAGAAAATCGATGGCGGATCATTGGATGGAGGCCGCGCTCGACGCGGAGAAGGATGCGGGGAGTCACAATCGGTACTTGGACTTAAGCTAGGAGCGGACGAAGCCGATGACGGAGACAAGCTTTTCTGGCCAGAGCGCGGTGGAGTCGTAGAAGGCGAATCTGGACTCAGCGGGAGCGAGAAGGATACTTGTTTCTTGGCGGGAGACGGCCGCAAAACCGCTCCCTGGGAAACACTGGCTTCCTTCCTGGCTGCTCCACAGTCGATGCATGTGCTGTGGCTCTGGTTGCACAAATAGAACCTCTCCTTCGCTTGATTGCAAACCTGACAGGGCTCTAGTTGGATGCCTCCGTAGGCGTTTTCCGATAGGGGTCTCATTGTTCAAGAGCGGGAGCCTGCAAAGAGAGGAAAACACTCCACGTACCGAGGGCCCCTGAACTTTGGAATCGCTCGACCGGAAGCGCGGCGAGAGGTCGAAACAATATAATCTATAATCATCCGTCATTGGATCGTTCGCGGATTCGATTGTTAGACTGATTGACGGCCCGAGCTCATGTTCTCTTCCGCGGAGCTCCCCGGATACAAATCGGCTAAAATATCAAGTTCGGACCCCAGCCCTTCCCCACTCAGATTAGTACTCGATCGATATCGCCGCCAGACTTCAGGAACAGAGTTCTAGCACCGAACCGCCGATAAGAGGATATTGCAAAGTCAGGCGATCTTGATCGGATCTCGGCGGGGTTGAGGCGACAATTTTTTATGATGGGATCTCCAGCATTCTAATATCCAGAGACCCTCGAAAATCCGAGAATCGCTCGCTTATCCGAGACGAACGGAATAAATTCGAGGAAATAACCTACCTCTGGTGAGGCTCTCAGTTCGCCACACTGGTCACGACTTGGAATCGCCGAGCTCTAAGATATTTACCGGTAGCCGCGCGTCGTTCAATTCGCGCACGTTCACGCACTGCTTCCTGAATGTTACCAGGGAAGGACGCGACGTGTCTGAACGTTCGCTGTGATTCGCGACGCGGATACGTCCTCGAATACCAGAGAGTGACTTGAATTCTGCGATGAGAGAGGCACCTGATTCATCGTGCCTTGACGCTCGAGTTCCAGACCCAAGCGCAGCGATCACCCAGCAGGAATGCTCGCACCAGGAAGTCGAAGATGCCGGATAGAAACGTTTCCGGTCGGTAATGAGTAATTTCCAGCGCTTTGTTCCACCGGGACAAAGAGCCTCCGAGCAGCTGCCCCGCGAGAACTCTCGAGTCCCACCCAGAGAGATTTGTAAGCACAATTGGGTGTGTTTGTGATAGGGTCTCGAGCGAGCAAGGATTTTCCGAGAGAGAGGGGAGATGGGGAGTAGCAATTTTCCGGAGCATGCTTCTCACAGAGTGAGGAGACTCCCAAACGGAATGAGCGACAAGAACAAAATCAACATTATGGACTTCGTGCGCCGAACTATGCTCTCGGGACTCCGCGGTTGAATGCTCGCGTGAGCTTAATTTTCGGGAAAGGTCATTCGCATGATATTGTATTCGCGAGCTCTCTATTAACTAGGAATGGCTCTACACTCTCCGGAGAATACCGAAGCTGACTCTCGCTAACAAACGGTCCGGATGGTACTCCAGCTTAAAGCCAAGCGGTACGAGAGACAATAGAGAGACGAAGGAGAGCCCTCCATTGCCTTGCTCGGATTCCTATACTCTAGAACCATCCGATCTGGAAGAGACATCGACTTCCGATTTCCAGGCCGAAAAAAGCTGCATCCCTTCGCAGGCTTCTCGTGAAAAGAGCTCTTCTTTCGAGAAGCCCAGGGCTACGGCGGCCATGAGAGCGTCAGATACGGCAGGCAAGCTACTGCCGATCTCTGGCGCTCAATTCACCTTTCTCGCAGTCCGGAAGCCATGTTCGTATCCTTAATTCAGCTCTCGGACAAGTAAGCTATCATTCGGCTCTTGGGGAGGTTCCTCCTCATCGCGGAATCCCAGTACCCCTCCGGGACTGGTGGACGTGACATGTCGTCCCCGTCGAACAGATATTTGAGCGAGACGACGACTGGCCAAATCCGATAAATGCACAACTCCGAGGTTTCCAATCCTCGCACTGCTGCTATCCTCCGCTTTCAATTAGCGATCACTGCAGCGGATGATAGCGATTATAGCAAATAACAAGCCTTCGCCCGGGGGATGAATCCTGATAATACCATCGGGCTCTGCAAGGCAGAAATCGCGGGTGAGTCCGGGAGGGAGTCGACTGAAATAGCGTGAGGCAGATACGTGTATCACCTATTTATATTCATGAATCGTGAGTTTCTGGATTCAATCCAAGTTGTCAAAGGACACTTCCTGACTCTGATATCGATGTAGGATGGGTCTCGGGATCTCCTCGAATCTCCCTAGAACTCAATGAAGATGAAGCACAAATCTGTCTCTAAGTAAAACGAGGACGGTCGTTCCGAGGCATCGGTATCCGTTCCGACAGAGACCTCTCAATGATCTATGCGAGCTAGCCTGTCGTTTCCCTTCTTGGAGGTGCTGCAGGGAATGTCTCCGACTCATAGATATCGAGAATATGGTCACAGAAGTCGAGTATCGAGTGCTCTGGCTCATCCGTCGCGTATCGAAGGGCTTCCGGAAATTCGGGGAAATAGGTCCGACTTCCGTTTTTATCTGATCTCCATTATGGGAATTCACAGACTCTTCCCTCTGAGAACTTCTTCCCCCTCCGTCCAATAGGGTCCGGAGT